AAAATTTACGTCAGAACACTGGAAAGATATAAATAATTTTGTGATGATGAGCTTCTAGAATTAAAATATATGTTAAAATTCCAGTTATTGTTCTATTATTATGGGACTAGTTTTAAAATACGCGCCTTTTATTGCGAACAATTTGATACCAAAATGAAAGACGTAACACGAAAATTGATGTAATCAAACTGAACGAGTATACACATTAGGTTGCAGTATACAAATTGGTGCTCGTTCACGGGTAACTTTAGGCTTTTCTGCGGGGAGGCACTCAAGGCTTTTGTACATTATATTCATACACATCTGTAGGGAATTTAATTGCGAACACAATGATACCAAAACGAGCGACGTAGCACGAGAATTAAGGTGAGAAAAATGTAACGAGTATGCACATTTTACTGATTTTGTGCGCTCACAGGTAACTTTTGCCGACTTTAGGCTTTGCTGTTGGGAGTCACGCCAGGCTTTTGGACATTATATTTATACACACCTGTAGGAAATTTAATTGTGAACACAATGATACCAAAACGAATGATGTAGCACCAGAATTATGGTGAGAAAACTGAAACAAGTATACACATTTAGGCGTCGCCGCACGCTCGTCCGCACCATTGGGGCCATGACGTCAAAGTCTGCGGCGCGCTCGTGGGGTGCGCGATAGTGTTAATATTTTCTCCATAAAATTTTAGAGATGTGTTTTGTTTTACCCTGAACAGTGCAGGTAATGTATTTTTAATGTTATGACACAGGCTGTGGCGGCCAGGCCATACAATGGCGATCGAGCCTTGTCACTGAGAGCTAGCCAAGACAAAATATTTTGAGCTCACCTTTTCTCTGCTAATGATAGAATATACATTTGCAGAGATTAATAATTTTTGAGATTTTCTTTTGTTGAAAAGAAAACAATTAATATGTTGTAATACTATAATAAAATTGGTAAATTGACTTACTTTTAATGAAGCTGAAGATTACGTCATCCTCTGCAGCGCTTGTTTTATATTGTTCAGTACTGTATACAGGGTACATATAGTATGTACACTTATTTTCAGGCATTCACTTCCTGGGGGTGGAGCTAGCCTTACTACTAATTCACATGAGTGCTAATTCTAAGTCACAATTGAAAATTATTTCTACTGTATATTTACACTGTACAGTATCTTTTTGTCAAGGCTTAAATAATCATTAACACTTACAATACTGTACTCTATAAACACTTTTTACACTAATTTATATGCCTTTCAATCATATTTTATATCATTAGCGGAGGCTACACAACTTTTGATAGGAATTCAGCATCGGCAGATGCTCCATGACTTGTCGATGGGAATTCAGCATTGGCGGGTGCAGCATATCTTGCAGAACATTTGTTGCCGGCGGAGGCTGCACGACTTGTTGATGGGAATTCAGCATCGGCGGGTGCAGCATAGCTTGCAGAGCATTCGTTGCCGGCGGAGGCTGCACGACTTGTTGATGGGAATTCAGCATCGGCGGGTGCAGCATGGCTTGTAGGGCACTCGGTGCCAGCGGATGCTGCATGACTTGTTGAATTCCCAGTGGGTGCTTTCACGAACCGTTGAAATAATGAATTTATCTATTTTTGTCTGAATCTGATTTTCTCTGGCTAATATTCTGAGACATTGTTCTCAACCGTGCGAGTTCACAGTAAACAATGCGGTCACATGGCCAGGCGCAGTACATTCTAGGTCCGTAGGAAAAAAAAATACCTATTGCCTATAATATAAAAGGTATTTGATAAGAAAACAAAGAATTTTGCTTAATAACAATTGTTTTAAAATATTTTATTAATAATAATTTAGAATTTTCTTCATTAAACTGAATCATTTTAAAAGAAAGTTAAGATTTAATATACCAGGGTATATTAGCCAGGGAGACCAGGGAGCCGGTCGGCCGAGCGAGGGAGCCGGTCGGCCGAGCGGACAGCACACTGGACTTGTGATCTTGTGGTCTTGGGTTCGATCCCAGGCGCCGGCGAGAAACAATGGGCAGAGTTTCTTTCACCCTATGCCCCTGTTACCTAGCAGTAAAATAGGTACCTGGGTGTTAGTCAGCTGTCACGGGTTGCTTCCTGGGGGTGGAGGCCTGGTCAAGGACCGGGCCGCGGGGACACTAAAGCCCCGAAATCATCTCAAGATACCCTCAAGATACCACTCTCATGATCGAGGTTAGTGGCCTAGTCGCCATGTGAGGGGGTGCCAATGACAAAACAAACCCAATACCGACCATCGGTAATATCGACCACCAGACCGGTATACGAGGCTCCAGATACCGATCTCCCAAACTGGTCGTTATTACCGGCAGATCGCTATAAAAGAGATCGTTAAATTGAGTGGATACTGTATATTTTATTGTTTTTTTAATATTTTCATCACTGTGTTTTTAAATGGAAATAGTTGAGTTTGGAAACATTTTGACATTAACTTTATCTAAATATTTATAAAAACAACAAAAATATGTCCTTGACAATTGCACTAAGAAGTTTTTGCCGAAACCAGGTGTGCAGTGCAGTGGTTAATGCATGCTTGTTTGCCCCTGTGCTTCCTCGTGATGTTGGCCTTGTGCAGGTTCCTACCCTTTCGGCATCTTTGGTTGCTGAGGATTTGCGCACCTGTGGGCATTTGGCTTTGGTCTTGCGTTTCATTCCTAGTCTTGAGCTGTCTTCGGACTGGCTTGAGGTGGATGTGGGGGCATCGAGTGCCGGGCCTTCGTCTGGTGCGCTGGCCTTGGCGGCCTGTGTGTCGGCCGAGCTGTTGAAGCTGCTTGCCCGATTCGCAAGGTGGTGGTGTGTCTGTTCTCTGCTTCCCGTCTCGCGTGCCGGCAGGCTGTTTTCCCTCTCTCTCTTTGGAATCTACTTGGGTCCTGGCTCTTAGGTTTTCATCACTGTTTTGTCCCTTGCTCTCTGCAGAGACTACTGTCACGAAGTTTCTACAGGCGGCTTCATCTAGTTGTCGTCCTATTTTGGACTTGTTGGTTCTCCAGGGTGGCCATTCTCAGCTTTCTCAGAAGGGTTCTGCAGGTTGGGGTTGGCCATTAGTGCCAGCTTCTGAGTTGGCACTTCCTTCACAACTGACGTCGTCTGGTCGGCGCAATGATCGCTCTGTTTGTCGGCCGGCTTCTCGTAAGGGACGTCGGCCCTTTCACGAGTCGCCCTGTTGACGGGGCGATTGGTGGGGGAGGCTCGTCCTGTTTTCTCTCGCTTTGTTCCACGATTCATGGGTGTTTCGTGTCACTTCCTCCGATCTGTGGTGGCGTTGAGTGGCTTACCCTTCTTTGGGGGGTTCGGGGCTAGCGGTACTCCGTTGGGTCATCTCGGAGTGCTTTTAGGCGTGGTTGAAACAACCTCTGGCGCAGGGGATTTGCTGCTCTTTTGGTCCTGGTAGTTGGTTAGTTCGGTTGCAGCGGTTGCGTTCTTCTCTGGTGAAGAACGAGACGGCTGCTTTCTGGAAGGGTCCTTGGCTTATTGATACTTGGTTGGTCAGGCTGCGGGTGCATCATGTCTTGTGTCCGGTTGCAGCTCTACGCCTTACCTGCTCGCCTCGGCTTTGGTGGCTGGGGATGCTCTTTGGGTTGATCCAGTTTTCTTTGTTCCCTGTTCCAGGACTTGGGTCTCCCAGGTCGTCCGCAGTGTTATTAAATCTAGCCAGCCTGTGGTTTATCCTCGTGCCCATGACATTCGTAAGTTTGCTGCTTTGGCTGCCATCTTCGGCAACATATCTTGGGCTGACATTTGGGCGTGGGGATTTTGGATGTCGAACAGGGTCCTGGCCGCCCGTTATTTGGTCAACATTCCTGGTCCTGGGTGTTCGTGTGTGGCTTTGGGTTGCAGGTTGCCAGCCAGTTGTCTTGCCCTTGACTTGAGAAGCGTGTGGCGGCTGCCTCCCGGGTAAGTCCCTCTTTTCCTTTTCTTTGGTTATGTAGTTCCAGGAGCCCCTGGGGCTCCCCACAGAAATTCAGCATTGATTGTAATGAAACTCCATTTTTTGGGTGAACCCTAGAGGCTCCCTGTCATCCTCCCTGCTTGACCTGACAGCCGAGTGGACAGCACTCAGGATTCGATCCCCAGTGGAGGCAGAAACAAATGGGCAGATTTTCTTTCACCCTGATGAGCCTGTTCAATTAGCAGTAAATAGGTACCTGGGAGTTAGCTGCTACAGGCTGCTTCATGGGGGATGTGTAACAAAAGGAGGCCTGGTCGAGGACCAGGCTGCAGGGATGCTAAGCCCTGAAATCATCGCAAGATAGATAACCTTCCTCCCTCCGGTTAGCGGTTTCTGCATTGTTTTGATGCTTAGCCTCCAAACTGTAGTTGTTTAGTAGCCGGCACGGAGGGTCCGGAACTTCCCCTTCCCAGGGAAGAGCGAGCTGCACGGACAAGCGGCGCGAAGGAGAGGTGTGACGTTTGCTTGTTTCCTAGGGATTTGGGCGAGTTCTGCCTCATTGTTCAGTTTTTGGTTGCAATTTTCTTATCATGTGATGTTTGTTTCGTTTTGCTTACCTTTCTGGGTGCCTAACCCCATTTGATGGCAGATTAGGAAAACCCCTAACAACAGGGGGGGAGGGGGGTTCTAGGGCCATTGCTCCCTGTGCCTCTCTGAGGAAGGAGGGGGGCCAGGTTCTGGCCCCCCTCCAGAACCAGAACCAGGTTCTGGTTCTTTGTTCTGGCTCATGGTTCCCAGTAGGCTGAGCTTCGTTGACTATTGCCCTAGTCTAACATATCTCGTATTAGCCTGATAGCTCCAGGGAGCCTCCAGGGCTCACCCAGAAATTGGCGTTTCATTGCATTCAACGCTGGTTTTTTAAGATACTGTATTGAACTTAAGTAAGTCATGTTCAACAAGTTTTAAAAAAAAAATCCTCAAAATTAGATTAAGGTCTGCCGTTGAAGCATGCAGGATAGTTTAAACAAAACTGGGGAAATAAAATTCTAATCTAAAGGAGAAAAAATATTTTGTAAAGTGATTGCAAGCTATTAACCATTCCAGAATGGAATGCCAGGGAATGGAGGACTGGCTGCAAGTCTTTCTTCAGGTGTACCAGGGGGACAACAGAGCCTGAATACTCAGCCACCTCCTCTTACTGCCGGTCCACCTCCTCTCTCTCAACAACCTGCACTCCTGCCAGGCAATACTCCTCCAACACAGGTACACCATTCTGCACATTTGCTACTAGAAGTGTAAATTCTTTGTTACACATTTATTTTACTAAATAATAAAATGTGGTAAACTTTCTCTATCACCATAGAAGGCTTATAAAAATTAAAAAATATATATTTTAAATCAAAGGATAGCATTATAGTGATTATGTGCCCGGGTTTGTATACAGAATGTTATAATTTTCTTTCCACTTATCTTGGGTTGCCCTAGAGACAAATAGTGCCTTCCTTTTTAACTTGTAGGGAAAAGGAATTGCAGGCACTGGTCAGCTGGGGGAGACAGGACTTGACAACACACTGAGAGGGTGATTTATTCTCTGATCATATGTCAAACTTTGGACTTTGTACTACTTGTAGTACAAGTACTACAAAGTACTTGTACTATAAGTACTGAATGTTGGGCCTTTTGGTGCGGTTTTGTACTCTCTTGGTGCCTTCTTTGTCTGGCCATTTTTGTCATTTGATGCTTATTACTGTCGCCGTGTATCGTGCGGCACTGGCGGAGCCGCTCCAGCTTGCATTTGGGCTAGACGTCACTTTGTTTGCTTGTTACATTACAAAGGTAAAAAACCTGGAATATGAAAGCACACACTCAAATACTGTATACTTATGGATAAAAGTGCTATATCCACTTGTGCATTCTATGAACGATTGTTAATGCACATACTATGGATGGGTGAATCCATGGGTCAGTGGTGTATACAGATGATCTAGGTTGTGCCTCTTAGGCCAACAGCCAGCCTCTTAGTAGGCAGGAATGTCACACAGTTGCTTGACAGTCACTGACAGATGGAAATTTAATGTGCACACACTGGAGAGGAATTCAGGCAAATTAGATTAACTTGAGTAGACTCCTAGGATTATTATTCCTGCTGGCTAGTCTCTCACCAGGCCTCTGGGTTGGTGGTCTGGTCAACCAGGCTGCTAGATGCAGCTGCTTGCAATCTATTGATTGAATTACAGTACATTTGATCAAGTATCCTTTAAAGGTGTTTATCAAGCTCATCTTTGAACACACAGAACTTGGCTAGTTATGCCCCTTATGTATAGATGGAGGGCATTGAAAAGTCTTACATCCTTATTTACTAGAATTGTCTCTTTTGTCCTCTACCTATTGTCCCTCTACTTTTTAACTGGGCTATATTGCACTTCTTGCCATGCCTCCTGGTCTCATAAGGAATTATTTCCATGTACAGATTGGGAACTAGTCCCTCTAATATTTTCTAAGTGTAAATTATTATATCTCTGTCACTTCCCCTCCCCTTCCCCCTACCCCTCTGCTATACTCTTAAAAATTTCAGTTTGAGAGATTTTAAATTGTCCCAATAATTTAGGGGTTTTATTTAATGAATTTGGACAGTAAAAGTTTATGGTACATTTTAAGACACCAGTGCTATCTGGGAAGAATATTGTTGACCTAACAGCCTTAGTCAAAGCTGAATAATGACAGATCCACAATAAATCAATAATCTTACCTTACCCTTCATGAAAAGTACTCTTAGCTCCTCAGAGCTCAATATAACGTCATTGAAACCTTGCATGTTCCCTAGACCAGTGAGGTGGACCTCTTGACTGCCTCACAGGTAACCTGAGGAATTACCAACTGTGAATAATACTTCCTACCCTCTCGAGGTACACTTAATATCAATTTAAATATCACACTCTTTAGTACACACTGTTTGGGAACATATGCAGATGTTCATAAAATATAATTTAACAAACCATAATGATAATTCATTACAACACCTGGAGTAACCAATCGCCCAGATTGGCTATTCTGAATCCTAACTCGGACACACACATACACACACACATTCGCTCGCTGGCCAGTGCTCTCACATCTCTCAACAAACAGTTAACAGATCGACAATGTGCCAAATTTATATCTACAAAACCTTGAAACATTTAAGTATGCCATACATATAGACACATAGTACATACACAGATAAAAGCGTATAAAAATATACAGTATATATGGTCACTGAAACAAAATACCAATACTGTATATATAAATTGCATTAATTATACAATTTATTAACAAGTTAAGAGTGTGTAAGTTAAGAGTGTGTTTCATGGATATGATACCAACATCAAATCATATATCAGACGTCGCCCTATCCCCACTAGATTTTGAAGAAGCCATAAACAGTATGCCTATGCACTCTGCACCAGGCCCGGATTCTTGGAACTCCATATTCATCAAGAACTGTAAAAAACCACTATCGCAGGCCCTTCACATTCTGTGGAGACAAAGCCTAGATACTGGCGTTATCCCTGACATACTAAAAACAGCAGAGATAGCACCACTCCATAAAGGAGGAAATAAGGCAGAGGCAAAAAATTACAGACCGATAGCACTAACATCGCACATCATAAAAATTTTTGAGAGAGTGCTAAGAAGTAAGATCACAAAATACATGGAATCACAGCATCTCCATAACCCCGGACAACATGGTTTCAGAACAGGGCGCTCTTGCCTGTTGCAGTTGCTGGACCACTATGATATGGCATTAGATACCATGGAAGACAAACAAAACGCTGATGTAATTTACACAGATTTCGCAAAAGCTTTTGATAAATGTGACCATGGTGTTATTGCACATAAAATGCGTTCAAAAGGAATTACCGGGAAAATAGGCAGATGGATCTACAATTTCCTGACTGACAGAACCCAATGTGTAATAGTCAACAAAATAAAATCCAGCCCATCAACCGTGAAGAGCTCAGTTCCCCAGGGTACTGTGCTTGCTCCAGTACTTTTTCTCATCCTCATATCGGACATAGACCAGAACACAACCTATAGCACTGTATCATCCTTTGCAGATGACACTAGGATTTTCATGAGAGTTGGCAACATAGAGGACACGGCAAACCTCCAATCAGATGTAGATCAGGTCTTTCTATGGGCTACAGAAAATAATATGGTGTTCAACGAGGATAAGTTTCAGCTCATGCGCTACGGAAAAATTGAAAATATAAAAACAGAAACCATGTACAAAACTCAGGCAAATCATAACATAGAACGAAAAGGCAATGTAAAGGACCTGGGTGTACTCATGTCGGAAGACCTTACCTTTAAAGAACACAATAAAGTAGCCGTCACAACTGCAAGAAAAATGACAGGTTGGATAACAAGAACTTTTCACACTAGAGATGCTATACCGATGATGATACTTTTCAAAACGCTTGTGCTCTCTAGAGTGGAGTACTGCTGCACAATGACAGCCCCTTTCAAAGCTGGAGAAATTGCTGACCTAGAGAGTGTGCAGAGATCCTTTACTGCTAGAATCCACTCAGTAAAACATCTAAATTACTGGGACCGACTAAAGAGCCTAAATCTGTACTCCCTTGAGCGCAGGCGGGAGAGATACATAATAATTTACACGTGGAAAATAATTGAGGGGCTGGTCCCAAACCTGCACACAGAAATAACACCACATGAAACCAGTAGACATGGCAGGATGTGCAGAATACCCCCGTTGAAAAGCAGAGGTGCAACAGGTACTCTGAGAGAGAACTCTATCAACATCAGAGGCCCGAGACTGTTCAACACGCTTCCACTACACATAAGGGGCATAACTGGCAAACCCCTCACAGTGTTCAAGAGAGAACTGGATAAGCACCTCCAAAGGATACCTGATCAACCAGGCTGTGACTCATACGTCAGGCTGCGAGCAGCCGCGTCTAACAGCCTGGTTGATCAGTCCAGCAACCAGGAGGCCTGGTCGACGACCGGGCCGCGGGGACACTAAGCCCCGGAAGCACCTCAAGGTAGCCTCAAGGTAGGTGTACAGTATATTAATAATATGTATACGCTGGGGTCATAACAGTAGGAAAGCAATATGTAAAGGATCTGGGAATAATGATGCCTTTTGACCTAACATTTAGGGAGCATAATCAAGCAAATATAGTCAGCTAGAAAAATGATAGGATGGGTTATGAGAACATTCAAATCCTGAGATCCCACCACAATGGTCATATTATTCAAATCATTTGTGCTGCCCTGTCTTGAGTACTGCTTGATACTCACTTTCCCCATCGGAGCAGGACAGATGTTGAAATAGAGGGTATACAGAGATCATATATGCACATACAGACACGATAAAGCACCTAAATTATTGGGATGTTTGAAAGCTCTCGACATGGACTCCCTGGAAAGGAGATTGGAGAGGTATCACATAATATATACATGGAAAATACTGGAAGGCCATGTCCAAAATTATCACCGTTAATTAACAACATACTGGAGCAAATGATAGGGCAGGAAATGCAGAATAGACCCAGTGAAGAGTAGAGGTGCCATAGGCACAATCAGAGAGCACTATATGATTATTAGAGATCCATGATTGTTTAGCATACTCCCAACAAGTATAAGAAATATTGTCAGAACAAAAATGGACATTTTCAAGAAAAAAGTTAGACCGTTTCCTACAAGAAATGCTGGACAAACAGGGTTTGTAGTGGATATTTAGGGCCTACAGGCCACTCCAAGCAACAGTCTCAAGTTATCACAAGTCAAGTTTGACCCCAGGCTGGGCTCGGGGAGAAGAAGAACTCCAGGTACACTCTTCAGGTAAAATCCAGGTAAGCATGCCATTCACAGTCACAAATCTTATTCTTTAATTTTGGTATTAAATGCATAACATGTTATGCATTCTTTGTGTTATCTAAAAAATTTGTAGATTAATGATTTATTGTATATTTTACAGTGAATATGCATTTATAAGTCAGAAAATTTATAATAATTATGAAGTGTCTTGAGTTTCATGTGATAACCCACTCACTTTTTGTTGAACAGGGCTTCTACTCACTACCTTACTCGGGTGGAGTTGGTAGTGGAGGTGTCTCAACAGCTGGGTTTATAGGAGGTCCTCAGCCAGGTGCTCTGCTCTCATGGGTCAGAGCCCAAGGTCCTCACATCGTCCAACATTCACCTCACCAGGCCCAGCTTCCTCCACGGCCCACTTCACAACCACAGCAACAGGCAATTTCTTCTATTATATTACAATATACAAAAAGACTTTTTAGAATATATAAGTTTTACAGCATTCATTATCTGTTATTGTCTGTGTGTGTGTACTCACCTAGTTGTGCTTGCGGGGGTTGAGCTCTGGCTCTTTGGTCCCGCCTCTCAACTGTCAATCAACAGGTGTACAGGTTCCTGAGCCTATTGGGCTCTATCATATCTACACTTGAAACTGTGTATGGAGTCAGCCTCCACCACATCACTTCCTAATGCATTCCATTTGTCAACCACTCTGACACTAAAAAAGTTCTTTCTAATATCTCTGTAGCTCATTTGGGCACTCAGTTTCCACCTGTGTCCCCTAGTGCATGTGCCCCTTGTGTTAAATAGCCTGTCTTTATCAACCCTGTTGATTCCCTTGAGAATCTTGAATGTGGTGATCATGTCCCCCCTAATTCTTCTGTCTAACAACGAAGTGAGGTTTAATTCCCGTAGTCTCTCCTAGTAGCTCATACCTCTCAATTTGGGTACTAGTCTGGTGGCAAACCTTTGAACCTTTTCCAGTTTAGTCTTATGCTTGACTAGATATGGACTCCATGCTGGAGCCGCATACTCCAGGATTGGTCTGACATATCCTGATAATTGTGTGTGTCAGTGTGAATGTATTTGCAAGTAAACGCTTGCTCCTGAGCCCTATTTTATTGGGCATCAGATGTCTAATTCCTGATCCTCATGCTTTTTGTAATTTCTATTCTTAAAACTATTTATTGTTTTAAGAACATAAAAATAAAGGAAAACTACAAAAGGCCTAATGACCCATGTGTGACATCTCTTATTTTCACCAAACTAAACAATATGTAACCTACACTTAAAACAATCCAACATCTGTTATGTTACCTGGTAATTTATTCCATACTTTTACCATCGTACTTCCAAACCACTTCACTAGGTTCCTAAATGTTATTCATACAAGCTAAGGATGATAACATGTTAATGTGAGCCTCCAGTGCCAGGCTAGGGGTTATTTCAACTCTTTTTGTTGGGATTTCAAGTAGTTGAGTCTAACATTTCTTTTTTGCCCAATGGTCCTTCTCTGGCCATTCTGATGGCCAGAGAAAGTCTGCTCTAACTTTCAACTTGTTGAAAGTTAAAAGGTCAACTTTCGTCTTTATACATCTGCATGTTTTCTAACACTTCATAAATTTGCATCTCCAAACATTGATGTGAATACTTCAACTTTATCATATACTTACTTCACGAATACCAGGATTAATACAGGCCCTAGTGCCTGTATTATATTAATATGTATATTAATATAATATAGCCTGTATTAATTTGTAGTGGAGAGTACTTGCAGTACTCCACTTGTGACTTTCCTCTACACTACTCTCATCCTAACTCTCTGTTTATAATATAATTGATATAATTGATTATCTAATATAATTGATTATCCTCCCAGCTATCCCTGCTTAAGTCTCAAGTATGTATAAATCTCTTGTGTGGAACTGTATAAAATGACTTGTGAAAGTCAAGGAAGGCAGTTTGCCTTTTTGGATTTTCTGTTTACCTAATTTGTTTTATCATAAAATGCAGGACTTGCATTATCTGAAGCCATGTTTGTGTTTGGTGACAAGGTTTGCATGATAAGCTTGATTAGGTCTTGGAGGATTTGTGTCATATCCTATGGCTTTGCAGCCCTAGTGTTATACTAGTAGCTTGAGGAACCACTAAGGGGCCCACCAGAAAAAGGCCCCTCATTACATTTAATGTTTGATTTTTATGTAACAAACTGCATTCTCACCTGCTCATTCTGCAACTGAGAACATGATTTGGCTTCTTTTTCAATGCACACATGCTTGCTTGCTCTCACTCACTCACAAAAGCAAATCAACAAGATTATTGAAGGAAAGGAGGAGGAGGAGGAGGAAATATATTCCTGAAAATATACTAACATAAATGGGGTGAGGTAAAAAATACTGAAGTTAAGTGATATCATACAGCTTAATATCCCAAAATTGTCTCAATATTGCCCCGAGAGGTTTTCTTTAGAAAGACATAACAGACAAATTATAAAAGGTGGAGATGTTGCTATTCTGATAAAGGAGCGACTAAAGGTAGGAGAACTGATATTTGACAATCCACAATAAGTTGACGTAATGGAACTGGAGATCTGTAATCAGGATGATAAATTGATAATCATTATTGCCTCCAGTCCACCAGCAACACCAAAGTTTATCATCTTGCCATCAACCACGGAAGCACCCAGAAAGGTAGGCAAATCAAAACAGATTACTGCATGGTTGAAAAATGATACCAACACCTTCAAAATATCAAAAGAACTTCCTTAATAAGAAAACAAACAACCAAAACTTTGTCATACCTGGTTGATACCTGGTTGATGGGGTTCTGGGAGTTCTTCTACTCCCCAAGCCCGGCCCGAGGCCAGGCTTGACTTGTGTCAAACCAGTCATCCACGCTCTAAAGTTATCTCTACTTTTCCCCTTTGTTGGGGAAAGAGGGGAGCCGGCCCAAGTCAGCCGGGCCATTAACCGTCAGTTCTTAACCAATGTTCATGCCTGGTGGTCATCCGTGCACAGTGGCATCAATCTTGTTTTGGTAGAGTTTTGCCTTTTTAAGGCTGTTCCTACCGGAGTGTGTGTGTAAGCCAGGAGTTTCGTGTACTGGAACTGCACTAGATCAGGGATAACTTCCCTGTGCGCTCTGTAAGTATTACCCTTGCACAGTCAGCGTTCCCTTCCCAGAGGTGTTTGGGAAACACTCCTGTCAGGGGGGCTTCCTTGCTTGTGGTGATCTCACCCTTGGAGTAAGCCAGGGGTTTTGGGCTGTCCGTCTTGCCCTGGGTTAGGTGGTGTTTTTGGCTGGTAAGGCGCACTGTGGTTGGTGCTGCCAGCTTTTCATCTAGCAAACAGCACGCCGATATTCCTCTCAGACTGCCTTCTTGCCCGTGTTGTGTCTAGGAGGTTTTCCTCCTTCATTTCTAGTTTGCAGGCGCTTTGATCGTTTGCTTCTGCTGGCGAATTCTGCTTGTCGCCCTATTAGGCATGCCTAGGGTGTGTGCGGAGGAACTCCCTTGCTACCCTCTGGGCTTTCCAGCAGTTTCATGTGGTCTGGTTGCCTGCACCGACAGGGTTTACTGGCATAACTGGCCCCAGTGCCTGGGCTTCTTGTAGGGATCATTCACCCTACAGGCCCTGGAAAACCCCCGCAGGCTTGGTTGTACAACAGATTCCTCTTTTGAGCCTGCTCTCGCCTTGTGCAAATTTGAGGGACGTCGCCTGTGCCTCAAGGAGGCAATAGGACATTCTGCCTCCGAAAAAAGCTGCTTGTTGGTTTCGTGACACCTACGACCCCGAGTCATGTGGGACTTGTTCTCATCATCTATGAGGATCACCCATTCCTTCATGGATAATCCAAGGTATCAAGCAGCAGTCGTGTTGCATGGGCATTATTTTGTGTTGCAATCCACCAGATTGTGTGTTTCATTGGATGCTCCGGATCTGCCCTGCTTGGGTTTTAGGGACTCGGATTTGGGGGTGTTTGTTGCTTCGAGTGTAGTTCCATCCTTCCCAGTGGGCATGCTTCGCCCTTCTCCTCCTCCTCCCTCCCCCTACTTCCAGTTTCAATGCGCCTGAGGGTTTCGGACCCAGGGCAGGGCTCAAAGCATCATACTATTGCTTACTGAAGTCAGGAATAAAATATTGGAGCAAATGATCCCCACTGGACAGTGTTCATAAGATGGATGGAAGGGGGGTTATTCTAGCTATTGAGTGAATTGTTTGCATAGTTGTTTGCTTCTTCAATTCTCTTCTCTGTTAACCTTGCAGTCATCTGTATTGTTTCACTTACTTTCTGGATGTTATCTCTGTGAGGGTGGTCATAACACTCCCCTTCTCCCTATGCCCTTTGTGAGGGGGGGGGGGCTAGATTCTTGCTCTGGTTCCCAGTAGGTCATCTATGACTTCTATGGCTGATGTGATTCATCTGTGTGGAACTTTCACTGTGAGCTCGATTCAGGGAGCCACCATTTGGTTCTTCCAGAAATCATTGTTTTGTACCCTTTTATGTCCTTATACATACATACATACACCACCATTTCCCCTCTAGAGTCTCAAAGCACTGGCTGGCACAGGTCTGACTCAGAAGTTTTCCCTGTGTGTGAAAAACAATAACCTCAAAGATAATGTCTGCTGGCTCTTGTGTTCATCGACCTTTACTAACTGCAACAGGGAAGAAAATTCTTAAGAAAAGAGAGACATATTAACTGGCATAGATGCCCCTTATAATATTCTAAAGTATGAGACTGCCAATGTATGGACAACTTATCCTGAAAGATGGCCAGTTAACTTTTCTAAGCAAGTGAAAGGCCAGTCTTAACCAGGAACTGTTCTCAGTACAATATATGTATTCCCTACTGCTACAGGTGAGTGTGGATTGGCTGTTTTTCATGGGCCATGAGTGAATTGAGGTAATAGATGGGGGTAGTTGTGGGTGATTTGCCTGTTCGGAGTTATCATCCGTTACTCGGAGTGAGGTTTAGTCATTTCATGCCTCTTATTTCGTGGGTTGTATGCCTCGATACAGGTTGATCTCTACAAGCTTCCCTTTCCATAGAGGGAACAAGGTGGTTTGAAAGAGTTCTTCTCCCTAGAGGGTGAAGACATAAGCTTCAGGAGCCTAGTATATTTTCAAGTGTCTTAACTGTGCTGGTAACATAAGGTATGAGGAGAAAGTTTTTGTTTTAAATTTCAGTTGGAACACAAAGACAGTAACTTACCTAGGTGACGACAAGGACAAGCAATCTTATCCTGGGATAAATTTGTTTGATCTCTTTTTAATTTCTAAACTCTTTGTCTAATTGGAGGCTTTAAATATGCTGCTAGCAATAATAGACCATCTTGTATATTTTGTATTTATTTATTTATATTTACAAGAGTTCTTACATTTTGTACAGTTACTAGCAGGAATAGCATTTCGGGCAAGTCCTTAATCCAAATGTTTCTTGGAATACAACCCTGCCAAATCGTTTAACAACCAGGCACCCATTTTACTGTTGGGTAAACAGAGTCTACAGTAAAGGACTGGCACCCAGTAAATCCTTCCCTGCCAGGATACGAACCCAGGCCAAAGCGCTCATGAAATGCCAGGCGAGTGTCTTACCACTTCGCCAATGGGACTGTATATTAAATAATATAATATAAAAATAATAAAAATGAGAATTATGTTTTCATTATTTATTTTTCTGCAGGTTGGTGGTCTAGTTGGTGGTCAGCAGGTGAATAATACTGGTTCTATGCACTATTTGCTAAGTTCTTACCGTGTTGGTATGTTAGCACTGGAAACTCTAGCCAGGAGAGTCCATGATGATAGACCGCAAGCAAAATACGCCCGAAATCCACCTTACGGAGAGGACGTTAAATGGTTGTTAGGAGTGGCTAAAAAGCTCGGTAAGTAATTAATTCTTCTGTAGTACAAGTGACTAATCATTTTCCTTTAATTCAAGTTACTGATCATTAATTTGTAATAAAATTTACAAATACCTGTATAATATTTCTTCTGTAAATTGATAGAACTTCCATAATGCATGAATCATTGATGACAAAATAAGTCATACAAACAGTTTAATTGTTCCACGTGGATTAAGCAGTGAATTTTTATACTATATTGCAGGTTTCACCAGAATTTTTATCAATTGTTTGTTTGACTGAAAATTACCATTTTACTTGGAATTTTTAAAACTAAATTCCTAACACAATCATAGAAATAGTAAAAAAAGTAATAATAATACTGTACTACAGTGTGACCTCAAAATAATAGCTTCATTTTGGTAATGAATCAGGTCTGGCTTCACTGAAGTAATCACAAAATCTGAATCAACATGGTAGAGTAATTTTAAAAGGATAACTTTTGGTCAATATTTGTAAAAGACGTCATTTGGTAGCACCCAGTAGCTTGCATTTAGGTGATACCAAGCCTTGAAAAGTGCACCAGTCTCCGAGACCCCCCACGTTTAACTCTTTATCAACTACGGCCAGAATCTTGCTCTCTTTACTAGTCAAGACCAGCTTGATGATCAGAGATGAATTTAATATCTAGAAAAACTCATCAGAAAAAAATAGGGGTAATTCAACAAACTTCTGCCCGAAGAATGAAGAAACAAATAAATTGAAGCAAACAAGGCAAATGATCGTTGCCATGGGTGACCAACACTAACTTTGATACACTTGACCACCACCAGATAACATCCTAAGCCATTTTATGGGCCTCAGCCAGTTATCCACCTTACTCTAATAGCATCCTAAGAACTTTTTTCCTTACGCTAAATGTACAGGGTAACAGAACAAAATTTTCCCTATGGGACTATTTCTTTATTTTGGTTCCATATCTGTTTTACATATTTTGTTTCACTTTAGACAGAGGCCCATTTCTGGGGGAAGCCTCTTCGTCTCCCCGGAGCTAACCAGGCTGATATGAATGTATTAGATCCTGGCATCAGTTTAAGCGAATGGAGTTCTAGGCCTACCAGGGACCACGAGCCAGAACCTGGCCCCCTCAGAGAGGCTTGAGGAGCAATGTCCTATAGAAGCCCCAGTGTGGTTGAAAGCATTCTGTCTGCCATCCACTGGGTCAGGCACCCAGAAAGGTAAGCGCCCCCAAAACAAACCCCCTATTCTGGTTAAGAAATTGCTACTGAAAGCCAAACTAGTGGACAGAACGCCCCAAATGAAAACGAGCAAACGGCATGGCGTCACCATGTCACCGTACTGCTGTCTGTGCAGTTTCCCCCACCCCGGGAGGGAGAAGGCGACGCCCCAGACCCCTGCGCCTACTATCCACACCCCAGTTATGTGGCTGATATGAGGCTGGCAAGGTCGTGTGACTCTGGCTCCCAGTTTCTAGTCCTGTGCCTTGTGGTGTAGTACTGTGCTTGGAGGAACGTATATTCTCAAGTACTCGGGCTGCATGTGCCTAGGGTCACCTTCCCTAGATGCCCTTGGGGCTTGGGGTCATCTTCCACAAGTCACCTTGGGGGCTACCTCCGCTAGGTCTTTTGCTGCTTGGTGATTGGCCGTCTTTGTAGTCAGCTGGGGTATTTCCTTCACACCCCCCCCTTCCCTGTTCTTATTGGTTTTCAGTCCTTCTCGTTCTTTTGTAATTCTCTTCTTTCTGTGCTCTGTCTCGACACTGTTCATTTTTTTCCATACTCCTCGTTGGTGCCTCCCCGCCGAGCAGGTTATGTGGTTCGGCCCATGTGTTCTGTGCATACGCCGTGGGAGTTTGTTTTGGTTGCTTTGGTCTGGGAGGAGTACAATCACCAGCACAAGTGCTGGTGTTTTGCGTCTTTTTCTCTCGGGGTGCTACGCCTCTCGCTCTTCTCCATTCTCCAGTCCGTGCCCCGTAGCTACTGGGGTGTTCTGGATTGCAGCTATGGGGAGGACGGCGGAATTCTCCCTGTGTTATGGGTGTGGGGCGCCTCCTTCACCTCTATCCTGCTCTGCTCCTGCATGTGCAGCTCTGGCCTTCTACCCCTGGTGCTGCTCCCGGAATCTTCTCGGCTCCGTTGTATCGTGACACGTTCGTGCCTACGTTTGGCAGGTGAGTTTCTGCGTTCTGGCGTCTCTTTCGGCCAGGTGCTGGTTCGTGGTTTTTGGATAAGAATATCACTGCACAGGTGACTGCAGAGGGCCTGTTGGCCCTTATGTGGCAGCTCCTATTTGTACCCATCCAGTCCCGCTCATATGCATGTCATTCCATGCTTGAGTCAATCAAGGGGCCCCACCTCATCCATGTTATGAGGTACAGTGGTGGAGGTGAAGGTTATATGGTAAATGTTCCTGTGTCAGGATGTTATGAGGTGACATTTTGCTGCAGTTTTGTGACTGGGGATGCGTGTTGGTGATTGATTGTGGCGTTTTGTTTGGCTTTTGTGTGCTTTTTCCTGTGGCCTTCCTTGTGTGTGTGTTCTTTGTCATGCTTGTTTTGGGATCTCGACCCCGTTTTTCGTGGTCTTATCTGGGTCCCCTCATTCCTTTCCCGTCTTGGGGTGCCTGGCTTAGCCCTTCCGTGTACCTTGGATTCTCTGTACTCACCTAGTTGTACTTATCTGGTTGTACTTGCCTTGTTGTGTTGCGGGGGTTGTGCTCTGGCTTTTTGGTCCCGCCGCTCGCCTGTCATTCGATTAGTGCATGGGTTCCTGAGCCTACTGGGCTCTGTCATGTCTGCACTTGCGGCTGTGTGTGGAGTCAGTCTCCACCACTTCCCTTCCTCATGCATTCCATTTGTTTACTACTCTGACACTGGAATACTTCTTTCTAGTGTTTCTATGGCTCCTTTGGTCACTCAATTCCATCTGTCTCCTGGTGCGTGTGCCCCTTGTGTTTGATAGTCTGAATTTCTCTAGCCTTTCATTTCCAATGGGGGTCTTGAATGTGGTGGTCCTGTCCCCTCTCACTTTTCTGTCTCCCATTGGCGTGAAGTTTCATTCCCGTAGTCTCTCCTTGTTGCTCTCTCCCTTCGGTTCGGGTACTAGTCTGGTGGCAAACCTTTGCACCTTTTTCAGTTTTAATTGTTGGGACAGGGTCTGCAACTCTGTGTGTTGTTGGTATGACTTGTTGGGACATGACCTGCAACTCTGTGGATTGGTCGTGTCCCTTTAATTCCTGATCTGCTGCCTGCCTTCTTCGTTCCTCATCTTCCTGCTTCGCTCTTGTCCCTAGCCGCTGGGCTGGGGCTGTTCTTCTGGTCTTTTTCTCGTTTATCTTATTCACTGTTGTGTATTTTGTTTGTGCCTTTTGGCTCTCCTATGCCAGGTTTGGGTTTCTGTTCCTGGCTTGCCGTGCCTGTTGGCATTTTCCAGGTCTCGCGGTGTCCCTTCTCTGGAGTCTCACGTCGGACCTGTAGTCTTCGATCTCCTGGCGAGCTTGCTGGCGTTGGGAAGTTTTCTGGTAGGCAGACATTCTATCTCCTTTGCCGGCTTGGGTTTCCTGCTTTGCTTGCTTGGTGGTCGCACCTGGGATCTTCCTGCGGCTCCGCCTCTCCCTAGGCTCGATTGGTCCATGGCGGGGCTGGTTCGGTTCTACCTTTAGTCTCTAACCTTCGGTTGGTGGTCAGGTGACTTCGTTCTTGGTGTCCCACCTGCGTGCTTCTTCTTGGCGGCAGTGTGGGGTTTTTTGGCGGTCCTTCCTTTTTTCTTCTGTCCCTTCTTAGGTGGCTGCGTTTTGTTGGTGTCTGCTTGTTCTTCTCTTTTGGAGGATCGGGCCGTCGTCTTGCCACATACTGTACTGTCGCCTCGTATCGTGCGGCGCTGGCGGAACTGCTTCAGCTTGCTTTCAGTGTTGATATAACCTCTGCGCCATTTCGCAAGCTGCCTTGTGCGTTGTTTCACCTCCAGCCTGTTCATGCGACGCCTGGCCCATCCTGGTCTTTAGACAGCATGCTCTCTTTTCTTTCTTCTCCTTGGTTTGTTGTGACTCCTTCAGTTAAGGATTGTTTCACGAAGCAGTTACGCAAGCACTTACGAACCTGTACTTCTTTTCTCAATCTTTGGCGGCTTTGTTTACAATTATTAAACAGTTAATGAGCTCCGAAGCTCCAGGAGGCTGTTTATAACAATAACAACAGTTGGTTGGGAAGTTTTCATGCTTGTAAACTGTTTAATAAATATAAACAAAGCCGTCAAAGAGTGAGGAAAGATGTACGCATTCGTAAGTACTACGTAACTGCTTCGTGAATCTGGCCCTTCATGCTCTCTTCTGGCGCAGAAATTTCTGCTCCTTCAGTAGTGGCGATAAGTTTATTCATTTGTGGCCATCTCCTTTTCTGGCAAAGAATGGGACTGCTGCTTTCTGGAGGGGTCTTTGGGTTGTTGTTGATTGGTTGGTTGGGTCGGAGGTGCATCATGTTTTGTGTCCGATTGCGGCTCATCGCCGTTGTTTGTGTGCCACGGCTTTCATGTCCAGGGACGCACTTTGTGTTTTTTCGGTTTCCCTTCTTCCCTCTTCGCGGGTGCGGGTCTCCCAGGTCATCCGCAGGATTATTCAAGCTCACCAGCCTGCGGTTTGTCCCATGCCCATGAAGTTCACAAGTTTGCTGCTCTTGCTGCCGTCTTTGACATGTCCTGGGCTGACTTTTGGGCACGGGGCTTTTGGCGGTCAAACAGGGCCCTGGCTGCTCGTTACCTCGTGGATGTTCCCGGGCTAAGTCGGGCCTGTGTCACTTTGGGTTGGAGGTTGCAGCCAGTTGTCTCGTCTAAGTTGAGGAGTGAGCAGCGACCGCCTTCCTGGTAAGTCCCTATTATTTCCTCTGTGGGTAGTTAGCTACGGGAAGTCGAAGGGGCACCCCCAGAAAACCAGCGTTGAATGTAATGAAACCCCAATTTCTGCGTGAGACCCGGAGGCTCCCGGCATCCCTCCCTCCGGTCGGCAGATTTTTGCGTGTTTTGACATCTAGCCTCAGAGCTGAAGGGTGGATAGCCAGAGTGGGGGGTCTGGGGCTTCCCCTTCCCCCTCCCAGGGAGGGGTGAGCTGCGCAGACAGTGATGCGGCGACGTGTGACGTCATGATCGTTTGCTCGTTTCTTTTAGGGGAGTTCTATCCACTTGTTTGGCCTGTTGGTAGCAATAATTTCACCAGAATAGGGGTTTGTTTTGGGATGCTTACCTTTCTGTGTGCCTGACCCGGTTGATGGCAGACATAGAATGCTTCCAACCACACGGGGGTTTCTGTAGGCCATTGCTCCCCATGCCTCTCTGCGGGGGGCCAGGTTCTAGCTCGTGGCCCACAGTAAGCCCACAGAACTCCTTACACATGATTGATGCCAAAGTCTGACATTAGCATATCAGCCTAGTAAGCTCTGGGGGAGCCTCTGGGTCTCAGCCAGAAAATGGCTTTTCATTACATTCAACGCTTTTTTTTTTTTTTATATATATAATTTTTTTCATTTGCATATGTACAGTACAGTATTTCCATTAAAACTATTTCCAGTGTTCAAACCAACAGTGTAAATGTTGCTTTAAAATTTATTTATAATGTTTAACATAAACTTATTTTTATGTGATACATCATTGGTTTTTTATTTTTTTCAGGTCAGCAATACCTCCATCAGTTTTGTATGTGCTCAGTGAACAGTGTAGTGTCACCATTTGTTCTGCAAGAGCTGGCAGTGGAAGCAGCACATTATTTAGCTCGCCATTCACCTGCATTATTTCACCAGCAATTAAGATCACCCATCTTACAACCTCTTGTGCAGAAGTGCCAGCAAATGTAAGTTGATCACATATCTAGTACAGTATGTGCTATGTGCAGTTTACATATATATATATATATATATATATATATATATATATATATATATATATATATATATATATAATCTAACACGAATTTTCTCAATATTTCTTATGTTTCTTTTTACTGTTGATGGTAATTGAAAAATCAATTCTCTAACATTCATTTTTATTTCTAGTTTGACGCGACACTTGAACGCGTTTCGTAATAACTTATTACATTTTCAGACTTTAGTTAACACACACAACTGTAACCTGAAAACACTAAACAGAGTCTTACTTGTGCTAACACTAAACAGCTTATCCATCTTACTTATACTCGTATTTGGGTGAGGTGATATGGTGCAACAGTTTTGGATGAGGTGAACAAACTTGTGACAAATACAAGACAGAACACGAAACAATTGGTATGAGTTGGATATGAGAGCATAAGAATGGAAGTAACTGCAAAGGGCCTATTGGCCCTGTTATAAAATATGGTGTGGTGGGGCTTCTATGGGGGTCTGGTACTACTAAGGGGTAAGGGTAGTTAGAAGACAGAGTAGCAAATATGGGAGAGCTAAAAGGCCCGGCCCCCAAAATAAACTATCCACAGTAGTAATAACTTGCTACTAGACCATATATGTTAGTCTAAGGGTTGATCAATGCGCTCCCACACAGGAAAAAGGGATACTCTGTAATTCATGTACTTATTTATTAACTCCTTAACAACCCCCCATATACACTCACACCAATAACAATAATAATAATAACTTTACCACACTATCTTACGTTAAAAGCCTTGGTCCACATAGGCAGGATACAAGGTTTACACTAATAACAAGCTAGGGTAAAGTACTACTGGATAAGCACTGAAGCTGGATGCAGCTTAGGGTAGTGAGACCATGTGGTACCCTAATACAAAACAGAACACTTAGGGTTACCCAAAACACTGGCAACTACTACCCCCAGGTCTCACCAATCGTTACTACCAGAGTAGGTACACTTAGAAATCATACAATACTTAACTTAATGGTACAGGAACTTAGGGTAAGGGAAATAAGTAAGAGGAGAAGGGAGGAGATTAGGGGTGCAGCCACAGAGTAGGTCTCGTCCGCACGAACGCCAGCCAGAGAAGAACCTCCTAGCGACCAGCTAGGCCTCCCATGTCGTGGTGCCGGAAGGAGCCTAATTGATCGTGCAGCTAAGCACATTAAAGATCTTCCCCTATGCAACGTATTGTTACTTTACAAATGATTAGAAAGTATTAGTAAGCAAAGTTGGTGCCTATGTTATTATTTAATAATCAACCCCCAGCTCAGTCTTTAAATGCTCTTTGAGAAACAATAATAGTCTTACGTCTGGCAGGGAAGATACAAACAATTGCCGCTCGAGATGCACTCAACTGTACTACCAGAAAGTTTAATAGCTCAATTTTGACCTCTGGTTTCCACTGGAGAACCCAGGGTCGTAACAGGCCCATACTTCCTCTTGATGCTTCTATATTGGTTCGGAGTCTTGAAGTGGGTAGAATATAGTTATGCATTAATTGGCTGTTGATTGCTGGTGTTGACTTTTTGATGTGTAGTTCCTCACAGATGTCGAGCCACCTGCTATCGCTGTACCCATCAATGATTTCTGTGTTGTTTGTTAAGACTTCCCTGGTGATGGTCTGGTTGTGAGATTATGTGTTTCTTTATGGAACCCTGTTGTTTATGCATCGTTAATTGCCTGGAAAGAGACGTTGTTGTCTTGCCAATATACTGAGTTCTTTGGGGCTTACAGTCCCCAAGTAGGCATTTGAAGGCATAGATGACATTGGTCTCTTTCAAGGCATTCTGCTTTGTGTCTGGAGAGTTTTTCATGAGTAGGTTGGCCGTTTTTTAGGTTTTATAGTAAATCGTCAATAGTATTTTCTATTTTTTTTGTCTGTAGGGATAACGTTCCTATCAACAATATCTTTCAGGAACCTTTCCTCCGTTTTATGAGCTGTCGAGAAGAAGTTCCTGTAAAATAGTCTAAAAGGGGGTACATGTGTTGTGTTAGTTGACTCTTCAGAGGTTGCATGGCATTTTACCTTTCTTTTTATGATGTCTTCAACAAAACCATTAGAGAAGCCGTTGTTGACTAGGACTTGCGTTACCCTACAGAGTTCTTCATCGACTTGCTTCCATCCTGAGCTGTGGCTGAGAGCACGGTCGACGTAAGCATTGACAACACTCCTCTTGTATCTGTCTGGGCAGTCACTATTGGCATTGAGGCACATTCCTATGTTTGTTTCCTTAGTGTAGACTGCAGTGTGGAAGCCTCCACCCCTTTCTGTGACTGTTACATCTAGAAAGGGCAGCTTCCCATCCTTCTCCATCTCGTAAGTGAAACTCAACACAGAATTCCACTCGAATGCCCCCTTCAGCTCCTGCAGACCTCTGACATCAGGTACCTGTGTAAAAATGTCAACATACCTGCAATATATGGCAGGTTTTAAATCCATGGCTTTTCAAATCCCTTTTGACCGTTGTTATTTTCTAACAGTATTGTGACTCAGTTTTTGATGGCGGTGTCCTCTAGTTGCCGTCCTGTTTCTGATTTGTTGGTGCTCGGGGGGTGGGGGGTGTCGCTTTCGCTCTTCTCTGGGTGGTCATGCCAGGGCTCGGGTTCCGGTTACTTGAGGTGGGCCATTGGTGCCAGCTTCTATGCCAGTGTTTCCTCCGGGCCCCCTCTTCGTTTGGTCAGTGCAGTGATCGCTCTGAGCGAAGGTCAGCTTCTCAGGAGTTGCACCGGCCCTTTCCCGTCGTTCATTTCAGATCAGGTTATTTTGTCCTTTCTCTCTTGGCTTTTTCCGGACCAGTTTCTCATGCCGAATACTGTCGCTTCTTATCATGCGGCGCTGGCGGAGCCACTCCAGCTTGCATTTAGGGTGGATGTCACTTCTGCTCAGTTACGCAAGCTCTCTTTTGTGCATTTTTCACCTCTGGGCTGCTCGTGTTCTGACCAAGCCATCCTGGTTTTTGGATCAGTAGCTCTCTTTTCTCTCTTCTCCTCAGTTTGTTGTGGCTATTTCAGTTCAAGATTGCTTTCGGAAGGCTTTGTTGTTGACTTTGGCCTCTGGGGGGATGGGTTGGGGAGCTTTATGCTCTTCTCCGACGCAGAGGTTTCTGCTCCTTTGACCCCTGGGAGTAATGCAATAATTTTTTTTCATTTGCAGCCGTCTCCTTCTTTTCTGGTGAAGAATGAGATGGCGGGCTTCTGGAGGGGCCTGTGGGCTATTGATATTGAGGCTTGGTTGATCAGGCTGGAGATGCATCATGTGTTGTCCGGCTGTGGCTCTCCCTGGTACCAATGCTGGTACCTGTGCACCTCGGGTTCTGTGTCCGGGGATGCGATTTGGGTTGATCTGGTTTTTGGGTTGATTGAGCGGCCAGTTTTTCCGTCTTCATCTCAAGGCATGTGGTGCTGCCACCTCCAGGGTAAGTCCCTTTTACTTATATGAGTATATAGCCTCAGGAATCCAACAGGGCTCGCCTCAGAAAACCAGCGTTGAATGTAATGAAATCTCATTTTCTTGGTTGAGCCCCGGAGGCTCCCTGACACCCTCCCTCGGCGGAGCGGTTTGTTATCAGTCTATGAACTGCTGGTGTCAGCGCTTGGGCTGCCTGGGCAGGGCTCCCTCCCCCCCTCCTGAGGGAGGGAGGTCGCTAACAAGCAGGTGCCCTAGTTGAGCATGCCTGCAAGCAAACAAACATTGCTTGTATGTTGTTTCCTCTTGGGGGGGGAGTTCTTGGGTTCTGTTCGGTCTTGGGTTGCAATGTTTTACCAGTAGGGGTGTGTAATAGTTTGCCTACTTTTCTAGGGGTTAGAAAAGTCGATGCCAGACATGACTATACTCTCAATAAGTGGAGTGTTCATAGGCCATTGCTCCCTGCGCCTCTCTGAGGAAACCAGGTTTTCGCTTGTGGTTTCCGGCAGGCAAGAAATCCAAGTAACTGATGCCAAAGTCTAATACATCCATATCAGCCTGGATATCTCCTGGGAGCCTCCAGGTCTCACCCAGAAAATGGCGTTTCATTACATTCAATGCTGGAATTTTTCTTTTATTTCTAGGAAACAGATTTTCATGCATAAACAATTTATCAGTAATGAAGTATAAATGGAAATATGTACGCTACTCAGTTTACCAATTATTACATTATTGATAAGTTTTCTAACTCCTTAAACATATTTGATCATAAAAATATTGCTTTCTATGGTACTGAGAAAATAAAAAAAAATTGTGTGTTTTCTGAAGTGGATGTCATTGCTTAATTTGGTTGATATTTTTCTTTTGTAAAATAGGTTCCTCCAGTGTACCCATCTCAAAATGTACTATATTACTCCAACGGAATATGATGAATTCATATCCATTATCCTTGCTGCTCGCTCGGCATACCAAATGACTCCAGGTGGAATGGTCCAGTTTAATGAACTCTTGCAGGCTCTCAGAAGGTAGGTGCAGCAGCTACAATTATTTTTTCTGGGGAGCCCCCCCCTCCCCCCTTCCTGCCACCTTCCTGATATTGCTCCATCTAATGGGTCGCATCAGTCACAGGAGTTCCATTTGGCCTACTGGGGACCAGAGCTAGAACCTTTTTTCCCTTACATAGGTGCAGAAAGTGACAGTTCACCATGTAACACTGTAAAAGTGTTTGAGTTAGTTTATTTAAAATATATATAGAGTACATGAGTCACAGACAAGGATCTGAGAGGCGCCAGTTGTCTGCCTGAGATCTCACACCTCGTCTGTGACTCATGTACTCTATATATATTTTAAATAAACTAACTCAAACACTTTTACAGTGTTACAACCACCCCATTTGGAAAGCATCCAGAAAGTCAGCAAAGCTTTACAGGCAACTGGATGTTTCATAGAAAATAAAGCCTTGAAACTGTAAGGCAACTCCGCAAACTAATCAATCAAAATAGATTCACTCAAAGTTAACCAAACTCTTTAGTTCTGATAGCTGCCATCAGGTGGCTTGGTGTCCACAGCTGGCTCCCTTGTCAGTTCTGTCGCTGATGTAATGGTGGTTATTACTACCTGTAGTGCTTTGTCTGTCAGTCATGGCAAGCTCCTCTGCATCAAGCTAAGTGCTTGCCATCCTTGAACTTCATTTGACTTGTGGGGAGGCCATTTGCTTGTGTATTGTTCTTTGATTTTAGTATTAGCTTCTCTTGCATGTTTTATTTCTGGCTAATTGTGTGGGCTTGGCTTCTAATGAAGAGTTGCATGTACTCAGGGTTATCTTACTGGGTGCTCGCTAGTGCTGCCATTGCACTGACATTGTTACTGTACTTCTTTGTTGTGTTTCAGATTTTACTGAAATTTACTGTTGTTTCAGATTTTACTTTTTCTGATGAAAATTGAGACAGTTGGCTTCCTTCCAGAGGGGTTCCCTTGGTGTTTGATGCTTGGTTTATCTTGCCAGGGTTGCATCGTTTGTTTCCAGTAGTGGCAGTTCATCACTACCTGGGTGCTGCCCACTCTGCTTCGGTATACAGCTTGTTTGTTGACCCAGTGTCCATGGTTTCATGTTCTAAGACACAGTTGATCATGTTGCCTATAGTGTCATTACATCCAGATAGCCTTTGGTCTACCCATGGGCCCACGATGTTGACAAGTTTGTGATTTTGACCCCTGTGTTGTTAACATGGAGTGGGCTGCCTTTTGAGCGCGGGGATTTGGGAGGTGTATCTGGGTCTTTGTGGCTTGTTTAGTTGCTATTCTCCTCCTCCCTGGTAAATCCCATATTTTCCATGTTCTCTATTAATAGCTTCATGTTAAATGTAATGAAATGCCTGCTAGAGCCTTGATGATACCATGATTCCCTTCTCCTCCCCCCCTCCCCCCCTTTCCCCCACCAGATGCATCGGTTCGTGGTTTATCAGCCCCGGACTGACTAATGGCTCAGACGGGAGCCTGGAGCTCCTGGGGGCAAAACCTGTTGACAGCCATTTATACTAGGAATTTCAAGCTAGTTTCAAGTGAATCATTTATAGTCATTTGGCTGTTTTAGTGCTTTGTTTTATATGAACCCTGCAGTTTGTTTAAATTTCTTCACTTTCTGTTTGCTCTCTCAGTGTGGGATAGGCCATAGGGACTCCTATGGCTGATGTGACTCAGTAGGGGGAAGTGAGTGAGATTGTTTCAGGGAGCTGCCAAGGCTCTACCAGAAAGATGAGTTTCATTACATGAAACACTGGTTTTATTCCTCTCATTAATTCCTGGGCACAGCAAGTCATGAGATATTGGTTAAATATTTGTAAACAAATTATTATCTTTTAGAGTAATAGCATATACATTATATTAAGTATTCACTTTGATGTTTAAATTTGTTTCTGCAGGTCCAAGTCATGTAAGAAAGAGCTGTGGACAAGAATCACAAATGCACTTCAACAGTCAGCACCAGTATGACCTCAGTCTTGTCTAGGTCCTTCTGGAGAAAGCTGGGGAAGCGCATCAGTGGTAAGACATGGTGTTTCACTAATGTGAGTGAATTAAGGTATCAGTGACATGTAGTTGTCCCTTTACATTATGAACTGAAACTCTTGTGATGATTTGCAATTTATTTGTAATGTTTAAAAAACAAAATTACCTAAAGAAAAAGTGTGAACTAGATTAACATTTAACTTTTAACTGTTAGATAGAAATTAACATTACAAGGGGTCTTGAAAGGTTAATTTAAATCTTATGTTTTTGCAGCTGAAAAATCCTTCATTGCAGCTATAAAGAAAAGTATCTTATTCTGTTGGCAGAAACATTGTCTACAAATTTTTGTGAAATATCCATAAATACTGAACATCAAAAAAAAAAAGAAAAAAAAATTATATACATTATACAGTGTGTGTATGTATGTATGTATGTATGTATATATATATATATATATATATATATATATATATATATATATATATATATATATATATATATATATATATATATATATATATATATATAGAGAGAGAGAGAGATAGAGATAGATAGATAGGGGTACCACTTCTCTGGTGCAATTGTAGGGACCCACAGTCTCGAAGAAGAAAATAAAGAGTATTCAGAGAAGACCTTGTGGATTCTCACTGAACTCTTTTAATCTTTTCCTCTCATACCACCCCTATTCTTTAAAAAAAAAAATATATATATATATATATATATATATATATATATATATATATATATATATATATATATATATATATATATATATATATATATATATATATATATATATATATATATATATATATATATATATATATATATATATATATATATATATATATATATATATAATAATATATATACATGTTATATATATACGTACGTACACGCACACACACACACTAGTTGCTAACATGAACAATTATTATTATGTATAGATATTAGATTCTTATTTTGAAAGAGAGAAAGGAGTCACAGCTACATAGCCACAGATAATTAAGTAGTAGTGAGAAACTGTTCACATGTAGCACATAAAATGTCATGCCACAGACAAGCAAATAAAAGAATGTGTATTCTAGTGTCTTAAGCATCTTCCTTATGATTTGTGGGAGATGTTGTATGAACCAGTAAACATTGAATGGAAGTATTGAGGTAATTGGAATCAACGAGGAATAATATTCTTCAGGGTTATAGATGTGTTAGACAGGCAGGCTTTTCAATCTGCTCAATGAATTATAATTTTTATTTAAAAGATTGAGAAAATATTTTTCAGCATAATCAGGTGACTATATATTGTATCAATATATGTAAGCACCTAAAAAATTACAAAAAGCACTCAGTGGAAAACTTCATCTTTGTCCAGATATAGAGTTTCTTACAATAATTGTAAAGTCCTATTATTATAAGTATTTGCACTCTCGTATCATGGTTTAACTGCAGAACATTTTTTTATGGAAAATTTTTATTATACATCATGAATATTTCTATAGATACTGTAATATCATTTTTGAGCTTGGGATAACTTAATTTCTATTGTAATTTTACACTTGAAATATAAATATAAAGTGACAGTATAATGGTGTCACTTTTATTTTGTCTGTATATATGTATTAACCTTATGTGTAAATGTGTGTGTTTGTGTGTACATGTGTGTGTGCACGTGTGTACGTGTGTGCACGAGAGTGTACTTGCTTACATAATGTCTTAAGTATGGATCTGTGTCTTCGTCTTTGTCTTTGTTCTTTTTAAACACCCGCCAGTCAGGGGACAGAAAATCCTGATCTCATTAGATTTCTAAAGATTAAATTAAAGTATTTAGTGCATTATAGATATTGGATGAGGATGTGTATGGCAGTGAGCCACATATTCTTCGTGTCTGGGTATGCTGGTTGGTTTTCCTAGTGTTCTAGCACGGCCTTAGAATATCAAATTATTTCTGCTTTCATCTTTTTATTTTACCTTTTACCGTTTAACAAATGTTTAGTTTAGTCCCTGTATTTAAATCAAGGCATATATCTCAAACTTAGTAATTAAGTAACAAATTGTAATTTTGTATGAAATATTTATTCTGAACATTTGGCTCATACAGTATTTATTATAAGCATTTATTTAATAAAATATAAATTCTTTGTACTTCAGATTAAATTGAGCTCTCTTGAGCATTTAAATTTGTTTATGATCTCACATATTAGCAGATTTATTTATTGTAAATATAATTTTTTTCAGTAATTATATATGGGATGTTGTAGAATTGTTTGAATCTTTAATAATAGATTAATTTTCTTATAGCAAGTAGGAGATGATAGTCTACTTCAAAACAGATAAGGAAGTTCATAATCTATTATAAAGAACAAAAAAGAGGCTTCTGTTTGGTTGTCTTGTTTTATATTGTGTGAATGAATGGGCTGAAATTGTGTTAGCAGAAAAAATGCAAGGCTTGTTTTTATTTTTGTCATGTGTGTGTGTGTGTGTGTGAAAATGTGTGCAGTGGAAATGTTGAATTAATTAAAAAAAAATCTTAAAACAAAAAAAAATACTCATGAATGTACATAAGTTTTTTCTCATAAAAGGTTACTTGGTTAGAAAACTGAAATTTAGTTAAGATAAGTTTGAGGATACTGATGAAAAAATGTGGTAGAAATTTTTTACAACAGCTAGCTTTTATTGGTTGTATAAAAAAAACTTTTTTTTTTTTTGTCTTATTGCTGTTCATCTGTACTTGAGTATCGCTGGTTTGTTAACTTATTGTTTGCAGTGTTTTCACAATCTGATTCCTCTCAAAACACCTCAAATTAATCACTTCAGAGACCCTTTTGAAAGCAACTGATATCTTGTATTGATATTTTTACATCATTATTACATACATTTAGACTCGAGTCCCAGAAAGTCAACTAATAAGTAGCAGTGTCTTTGAAGTCAGTTTTTTGTGATGTGTGAGTTGATGTATGATGCAGAATGACCATACCTCACACATGGTACTTTGTGGTGTGTGAGTTGATGTATGATGCAGAATGACCATACCTCACACATGGTACTTTGTGATGTGTGAGTTGATGTATGATGCAGAATGACCATACCTCACACATGGTACTTTGTGGTGTGTGAGTTGATGTGTGACGCAGAATGACCATACCTCACACATGGTACTTTGTGGTGTGTGAGTTGATGTATGATGCAGAATGACCATACCTCACACATGGTACTTTGTGATGTGTGAGTTGATGTATGATGCAGAATGACCATACCTCACACATGGTACTTTGTGATGTGTGAGTTGATGTATGATGCAGAATGACCATACCTCACACATGGTACTTTGTGGTGTGTGAGTTGATGTATGATGCAGAATGACCATACCTCACACATGGTACTTTGTGGTGTGTGAGTTGATGTATGATGCAGAATGACCATACCTCACACATAGTACTTTGTGATGTGTGAGTTGATGTATGATGCAGAATGACCATACCTCGCACATGGTACTTTGTGATGTGTGAGTTGATGTATGACGCAGAATGACCATACCTCACACATGGTACTTGTGATGTGTGAGTTGATATATGTTGTAGAATGACCATACCTCACACATGATACTTTGTCAGTGCTGTTATGTCAGAAAAGTAGATTACCTGCAATTTGTGATTTTACGTCCTGATTAATTAGGTCCTATTATTACTACTCAATTCTGCACTTAATCATTATCATTATATACTTATCCATAAAATTATTGTAACATTAACTATATTTAATCATATATCCATAAATAATAGTTACATTCATATATCTATCTAGCTATATTTCTCTGAATGCTTTGTCCCCATCGGGAACTCCTTTACAGGGGGTGACTGAGGCAAAAACTTGAGACAACCCTCAACATTGCCTTCTAGCCAGTTCTGTTTCCCTTGTTCTATCGTTAGCTCCGTACCACTTGTAATCCCCCACTTTCCCTCCTTTGATGCTTGTTGACTTTACTCTAATCCCATATCCTTTAAATTTGCAACGCACGCCTATCACTCGATACTGTACTCTCAACATGTGAAAACATCGTTGAATTAATTATCTCTACCCACTCCTTTACCCCACACCTCTCATCTCTGGAGTGCTGTGACATTTTCTATATAATTCTCAATAATTAATAATTCTTCCAACCTTTATTAATGCCATGTGTAATTCAGAAATGTTTAATTTTATCAGCCTGAATTTTAGATTTATTTAGTGCAAATAAATATTACTCAGTACCTCTCCAAACCCCTAACCCATACCCTTCAAGAAGATAGATTATGTAGGCTCACTTACATATAGTAAATTTTGTCAGCCTGCCCCATAGTAAATGAGGATGCATATGAGAATGGTGCCCTTATTTTATTAGGGTTGACTAGGTTAATCTGAAAGTTCTGATTAAAAGAATAGACAAGCAAGATATAACTGAAAAAGGAATGTTTCAGTCTGAGAATATGTAGGGTTGCGTTTTGACCAAAATGAACCATTAGTGTGTGGAAAAGGAGACCATAAAGAGAAGTGTCTTCCCTTTGAGTACCCTAAAAGTCCCATGGAAGTGCTTCCATAGAAACTTGGAGACGGCAGGTATTCTCCCATTCTTTATGTATAATTTGCTTGGGATTTTAGTGTCATTAATAAACAGATAATAAAAACTAGTTAGTCAAGGTCCATGTAATAGAGGTATTGGTGTACTGTACTTGCTTGACATTTCTGATCTAGATTCTAAACTGTGTCTTTAAGAACCTAAAAATTTGTCTTCATTTTCAGATGTATAATTAAGTCATATTAAAGGAATGAATGCTTATGAAAGATTGAGTGAAGAAGTGATTTTTGGTCAACATTTCTCTGAATTTGTATATTACAAGGTCACCAAATTTGGGACTCAAGAAGTCGTGTCTTGCGCTCTTGATTAATTTTATAGTAAAAATTTAAAAGGTCCTTCCTTCATGTTTCAGAAGCTGAAATTGATAGATAAATATGTCCCTTGTAGGAAGGGATGTGAACATTGTAGGTCAGTGTGAATGTCATTACTTAAATTTTTTTATGATTTTATATCAAACTAATAAGATCATACAGTTGTACACTAGTCCAGTAAAATTTACTTGCTAAATGAATGGTAATGGAATAAAGAATTTTATGATTATACTCATGAAATTCTTTGTTTGGCATATTTGAAGCATTCTTGTATAGTAGTATACACTATATATATATAATATATAATTATATAAAAATAATTCTGCCTACATGTTAAAACTCAGGTTTATTGTAGACTACACTTGACTTATTCTTGTGTTCCGTTGCCAATGAGATATTTTCCATTACCAGTTTGTTAATTTTGTGTAAGTACTGTATTTGATCATAGGTATAAGAAGGCAGTGTTCATTTTATTAGGCTGTTGACTGTAGACCAATGTAATAGTCAAATTTGGCTCATTACGAAGTATATGATT